AAGAAATACGAGTTGGAAATGTTTTCTATCCTGCTGGGAGTGAGACACTCCAAGAAGTCACAGACTTGGAGCTTGGGCTCATGTGCCCATATGGGGCGGTGATCCTTCCATTTGTAAACTCAAAGGGGTGTGAAATAGAAAAGGACTTCCTGACACAAAGAAAACAGGGGAGGTCAAGTAAGCAGAGGACACCCAAACCTAACTGTGGTGCCAAGAAGACAGGTGAATGCTAAGTCAAAAGCATGGAGCAGGGGTCTGCACTAGACTCTCACATGGCCAACCGTGGTTCGAATCCCAGACCTGGTGACTTCCTTTCTCACTTTTTTCCCCTCTCTTTTGCTCTGCCCCTCTCCGGTCAAATTTTAAAATAATAATAATAATAATAATGTTAAATAAAAAAATAATTAATTTTTTAAAAAGAACTATTAAAAGAAAAAGCATGGAACAAAGGTATTTCTTAGAAGATTGCCATAAAGCTGTCACCGCAGGCATTAATAACGTTATAGATCCCTGAAACTCTAAAGTTCATATGTTCTGTCTATAATAAAGGATAAGTTAAAAGAGTGGTTCTTCTTTACATCTTGATCCAAATCATATGCATCTTTGAATGTTAGGCAGATATTTAAACATTCTTGATTAAGGGAGCTTTGTCCTTAAAAAAATATACACACAAAGTTTGGGTAAATTAAATAAAAGCACAGGAGGCATGACTTCAGACAATTTCTGGAGCCACAACACAGGCCACACGGCCACAACACAAGGCTCCACAATATCAAAAAAAAATGTTTATTTATTTATCTAATGATCTGGTGTGATTTTCAACAGAAAACCTGCCAGGTTTGGGACGTGAAACCATGGTCAGCCATGTGGAAATTCACTGCCTTAACCACCATGCCACATGCTGGTCCCCGCTCTATACTATTTCTCGTGGCAACTGCCCAATCTCAGACACCATGTGGTCAGACTCCCTCAGACATAAGCCAGTTTTGCAAGTCCAAACATGTGAAGTGACAGTGGCTCTGACATCTAAATGCTCTTTGCTTTTTAAAATTTAAGACATTAGATTCCATATCTTAGGTCCACTAAGTAACTGGGGCAGCAGTAATGCAGAACGATGCCCTGCAATGCTGGACCTACATGAGAAGGTCCCAGGTTCATATCCCAGGGCTTCCCTGTAAATGCCAGGCACACACATGCATGTACATGTCACCCTGGCTGGCTGAGCCTGGCAGTGGATTGCACCAAGATCCTGATGAGAGTGTCTGTCTCTTTCATTAACTTGAAATAGTATTAAGTTCAATAAAAATGGAAATAGGGAATCTATGAGCACATTCACACATGGATCATGCCACGCTCTTATCTTCAGAAAATCTTTCAAATACACAGACAACACGGGGTCTTTGAGCTCTCTTGGTGAATCAGAACCATGGACTCCTATTCCTCCCAGCTCTGCGTGGCCAGCCATTTCTGGTTCTCAATAGCCTGGTCCTCAGGGTCCGTGACAATGACAGCCCAGGAAACCCATCTGCCTTGCAGACTCACCCCTGCAAGTTCAGGTCCACTGTGCAGGCCAGTGAACAGAGACCAAAGCCGGCAGGGCTGGGATGCAGACGGGGTTGCAGCCTTTCCAGCGGGGACAGGCTTCCCCTGCAGAGAGCTGGATACATGCAGATATAGGAATCATGGCAGGTAGGAAGTGGAGGCAGGCGCACCGGAATTCTTTTCTATTCTGAGTCATCCCCACATCCGCCCGTGTGAAGGGGTCTGCCAGCATTTCACCATGATTTTACGGAGTTTAAATGAGGTCAAGGAAGGGTGGGGTCCGGTTAGGCAAGAGAAGAAAGTAGAATAGAAGGCCTCCCAAGTCTCAGGGCCTTAGATTACTGCCTTTCCTTTTCCTGCCAAAAAAAAATTTTCAGGAGATCCTGATAAGGAAAAACCATCTGTTGCCAGGCAAAAAAATAAAAAAATAAAAAAATAAAATGGCTATAGGCCAGGAGTGGGACATTTTGGTGAAAGTGAGAATTATGAAACAGAAAAATAAGTACAGAAATGTAAGGCTGGGCTGGCCCTGTTGTACAGCAGTTAACCACATGGCAAAGAAAGTTGGATCCCACATGGCTGACCAGGGTTTGAATCCCAGCCTCATCAGCCTCATACTGAATGTGCACATGTACCCAGGATCTTGATGAGATGGAGAATCCGAGGTAAAAGGATTATGGTGTGATCAGACCCTTCTGGGGATGCTTTCTCTTTGTCTCTGTCTGTCTCTTTCTTATGTGCATAGACGCATCACCTGGTACTTATTATTTAAAAAAAAAAAAAGTCATGTAAGACATGTCTTTGAATATGCTCTCCTTTGTTCCTCATTTCTGATCTTTTTTTTTTTAAAAAGAATTACTTTTATTTAACTTTATTTATTCATTCATTTATTTTAATTTGACCAGAGAAAGAGATATACACATACACACACACACATAGAGAGAAAGAAAGAAAGAGAGAGAGAGAGAGGGAGAGAGAGAGAGGAGATGAGAAAGCAAGCCACCAGGTCTGGGACTTGAACTATGGTTAGCCATATGGGAGTGTCCAGCGCCTTAACCACCACGCTACCTTCTGGTCCCCCTCATCTGATCTTAATACTAAGATGAATGATTATAACTATGAATTTGAACTTCTCAAAGTACTGTAGAAAATGGAAAGTTAGCAGGGCCCTGGAATCCCCTAACCCAGCACTCTCCATGTCTATCCCATTTCATTGGAACCTTCCTCACTATGGCCTATCTGCCTGACCCGAATTCTCTAAAGGAAAAGGCAGGGGATTCTCAGGGTGACGTCCTCTCCGCAGGGCTGGGCCAGAAGACTGCCATCAGCAGAGATCTGCTCGGGGCTGATGTCCTGGAGGGGGCCTAATGTAGTAACAGTCTGGGAATCTGAACTGGCCCAACTGGGGACTTGGAGCAGGATAGGGAAGGAAAGAGCGGGGCCCATGGATGAAGACAAAGGCCACAGCATTTGACAACCCAGGGTCCCTGGTCTGCTAGCAGGGCTTTCCTGCAGGCAAGGAGGGCAAAACTCAAGGCATTTGGGATGGACTGGGATACTGGTTCAAGGCCCAGCAACAGAGGCCAGGAGGGGACACATGGTAGATGACAAGAGGAACTCGGCATCAGGGACCGAGGCAGAAGCTGCATTGTAACTAAAGAAAAGATACAGGGGGCCTGGGTGCTTAGGAGAGAGATAGGAAGTACTGGGATCGAGTCCCAGGCCAGGTGACTGGTTCTGCTTGGACACCTCGTGCTCAGTCAGGTGTGGCCATAGAAACGGGGGGAGGGGGGGCAGGAATGGAGGAGCAGATCTAAAGTCTGGGAACTAGACTTGGTGGAGAGGAAAGGCCACTCCAAGGTCAGGGGTTAGGATCAGCAGGCAGGAAGTGGCAGGGGGGGGGGGGGGGTTTGCTCAAGAATTACTCAGAGAGCAGTGACCTTGACAAAGGGCTCTTTATCCTACGCAGTTTCAGTCTTTGTCAGCCCATTCCTGGACAGAACCTTCTGAGGTTTCAGAGCCCAGAATAGGGAGAGGGATTGACCTTAGCCACGGAAGGGAGTGAGCACCCTCGATATCTCTATCTGTCCTTCAATCAGGCTCAGGGTCCTTCTAGGGAATGTGGATCTCCTAGGAGCCCCACTGGGTCAGCTCCGAGGTTAGAGTGCTTAGGTTAGAGTAGCCTACTCCTCCCCGGCATGGGTGTTGCCATCCTCCAGGGCCCAGGCAAGATCTGGCACCAGCAAGCTCTAGGCACGGGCGATCTGGTCATACCTGAGACAGGATCTGCCTCTGTCCACACTGACTCCGAGACTCCCCCAGCCCCTGCTGGCACCTCCTCTGCTCCCAGTTCCTGAGGGTATTTTAGAATTGAGCTGAATGGCACAGGAAATGCACACAGAGGAAGGAGAACAACACTGGGAATAGCCTGCTTTTTGCTGCTCTGCGTATCGCTGTCCATCATACGGCACACCAATGAACAATCCCTTGAAATTCACACCTTACTGTTTCTCTGCCTGCTTTGGCTATTCCCCTGGTGCTACCTGCTAGGACCCAGTGTCCACACACCACTGGGACAGGGTAATGATTCAGGGAGCCTGTGGAGAGGAGGGTGGATCCACTCAGGGTCTGACACCAAGGGTCATGTCACCCCTATGTGGTCAAACCATAAATACAGACACTTGCGTCATGGCATGACAGAGCCACTCATGCTGTCTGCATGTGAACGTTTTGCCCTTGCAAAGTGGCCATCAGGGATGAGGAAGATAATGATGACGTATGTGGCCTTGGGTAGGGAGACAGGGAGGGTGAGGAGAGAGGGTATGACACAGATCTCACAGATTCTTCTTTCCGAATGTCTATGATTAAAGCCCTCAGCAAGGCCTTCAGACTAAATGCATAGAGGCGGCAATGGCTATTTTTAACAGAATGAGACCAATTTTGAATTGCAGTTCTAAGGGCAGTGGAAGGATTCTGAGTGACTGTGCTGGCTACAGGAACATCGCTGCAGAGACGGCAGGCAAAGTCAGTATTAAATATTTCATGTGAGAGTTAGCATGTTAGTTTTAGGGGTCAATCTAGGATAAAGCCATTTTACCTGCTTGAGTATCTTCTGCAATGTGTCAAATGGCCTTACATAACCGGCACACCCTTTTGATCGCAAGTGTAACCTAATTTTATTATATAAAATGATCATGGACTTGCATGGGTTTTACTGTCAAATGACCTTACATAACCGGCACGCATCGTCGTTACACCCTTTTGATCGCAAGTGTAACCTAATTTTATTATATAAAATGATCATGGACTTGCATGGGTTTTACTTCTGCCTTTGCACACAGGAGCTGGGTTTCAGATTTGCTGGTGAGTACTCCTGTGTTTTCTGGGACTCTGCACCCTTCTGTCCCCTGGGAAACCTTCTCGCTCTCACTCAAGGCCCACTTCATCTCCCCTCACCCCCATAGGAGGCAGGGGCCTTGGAGGGTGAGGGGGCCAATGGGCAATTGGGAGTCCCAATCCAGGGGTTACTGGTGAGAGAGTACCAGCCTAAAGGCAGCAGGCCCAGAGAGCTGGGGGCATTGCCAGCCAGTCCATCTGAGAGGGTCTACAGTAGGCATGGTGGATGCGGTGGGCTTGCCTGGGGTGGGGGAGTTGTGGAAGACCCCAGTAGTCATACTGAAGAGCTTGGGGCTTGTTGATTTTTTTGTTATTTGTTTGTTTGTTTTTAAGAATTATTTAATTTTATTTATCATTATTATCATTTTTAATTTGCTGCAGGGCACATGTACTCACCAGAGAAAGACAGAGAGAGAGGGAAAGTAAGAAAGCAAGCTGCCAGGTCTGGGACTTGAACCATGGTCAGTCATGTAGGAGTCCAGCACCCTCCCCATCGTGCCACCTGCTGGCCCCTTTATTGTTTATTTTTATAATTTTATATTTATTTCTTCCATGACAGAGAGAAGCCCCAACAGGGTCCCGATGCCATGATGCACCCCAGCTTTTAACCAGCCCCAGATTATGTGCTCTGGTGTATTGGCATACTCGGTGAGGTCTCCAGGTTTGAACCAGGGACCTTCCAATGTGGGATCGCCTCACAGAGTATTGCATTTTACCACTGTACCACCCTCTGGTTCCGTGCTTGGATCCTATTCTGAAAGTGCTTAGAGAGTACAGCTCCAGGTCTGTGTGTTGAAGATCATATTCAGCAGTATTAATCGGGAAGGACATCCGTTAATTCCACTTTCTTGGGAACTTTCTGGGCTGCCCTCATATAAGACAGTTTCTGAACAGCTCCCTCCTCCCATTACTCACCCATATCGATGTCGACCCACATCACGGATGAGCCTCTCGGAGAGGTAGGCGCCAATGCGATCGAGCTTTTCTGGGGCTGAGAGGGCGTAGAAGGTCAGCTTCTCCATGTTGGTCTTCACCAGGCCATCCTGCAACACAGGTCAGAGGTCACCGTGGCCGCACTGTGACTAGAAGTGTTCAAGTTCGAGACAAATAACCACTCAACGCATTCCGCGTTCGCAGAGTGCCTGTTACACACGTGCCAAAAAGCACGCTGGGCATCAGGGATACAGATGTGCCTAAAACATAGTTCCGGGAGTCAGCAGGTCCGGGATCCAGTCAGGGGTGAAGGCACTGGATCCCACATGGCCAACTCTGCAGTTTGAGTCCTAGACCCAGCAGCTTGAAAAACACACCAGGCATGTGTATGTGGGTGCCCAGAATCTCATAAATAGAATGGAGGAGAAGGGATTGAGGCATGGCCATGGCCCCTGGGGATAATTTTTAACTTTCCTTCTCTCTGTGTGTCTATCTCTCTCTGGAAAGCATACCTAAAAATCTTAAAAAAAATAAAAAATCCATAGGTCCTGCTTTCTGGGAACCTATAGTCTAGCCTCAAGTATGCTAGCTTTATTAAAGAAGTACAGAGATATAAATGTACCTGTGTGTGCATGTGTGTGTGTAAATATATGTATGCAGATATACATATGCATGTGTGTAATCCATGAATATGTACAGTATGAATGCACATATGGGTATGTACATATAGATACACATATGTGTATATGAATGACCAGACTCATTAGAACTGATTGTGAGGGACCAGCAGATGGCGTAATGGTTATGTTGCTGGATTCCCACATACTTGACTGCAGTTTGAGTCCCAGACCTGAAGGCTTAAAACATGCTGGGGTGTGTGCGTGCATGCCCCAAATCCTGAGAACAGAATGGAGGAGAAGAGATTGTGGCTTGGTCATTCTCCCTGGGGGGTGATATTTTGCTTTCTAGCTCTCTGTCTCTCTCTCTCTGTCGAGTACATGAGTCCTATAGCAAAACTCTCTCACAAAACAAAACAAAAAACCTCAACTTCAATGTGCTGGATATCCAGCACCGAGATACAAACAGACAAAAGGAAGCTCTTAGGGAATTCTCCAGAGGATGCTGGAAACGTGAACCACCAACTGCCCCTCGAGGAGAGGCCTCTGATTTCCAGAGAGCTGGTCAAGTGCAGCCAATCCCAGCGTTTCTCTGACCACAGCCCATCATGCAGCCCGATGTGTAGAGTGACGGCTGGGAGGGAAGGAGCCAGGCCCCTGCGTGTGCACTCAGACACTCGGCAGAGGCTGCAGGGAGGCAGGCTGGGGAGAGACACGGGCTCTGGGGAGCACTCACGCTGAACAGCTGCAAAACATTACCATCCTGAGAACAGCTCAAGGAACTACCACCCAGAGAGATCTGAGCCAGGAAGACATCTTCGTTGTGTAGCAACGGCCAAACACACGCCAGAAGTAACTTCCAGCTGCCTTCCGCAGATCCCGATGTCAGAGATCCAAACGCCCTCATCCTGGGTCCGGGCAGCCTCTCACCCCTGTCTGAGCTAAGGCCAAGGTTCCAGTTTGCCAGGGAAGGCCCAGGGGCCCTGAGAGGCCTGTCCCCTCACAGCCTCTCTCCACCACAGCCTCTGAGGCTCTGCCTGGACGAGATGTGACCCACCTCGGGATCCTCAGGGAAGATGTTGTCCACCAGCCTCTTGTACCTGGGGCGTAGGGCGCCGCAGCAGCCACACACACCTGCAATGGGAGAGAGGGAATGCATGAGCAAGGCCTCTTGTCAGGCTGTGGAGGCCGAAACCAGGCCCAGGCTGAGCAGATCGTAAGGAAACCAGCCCAGGCTGGAAACAGGAAGGTCCTCCCTGAGAGAGCCAGCCAGGGCTGAGTCCTCTCCTGCATCCAAGAGGGTGGCCATCCTCGCATGATGTCTTTCGTTTGGGAAGTGCAGCCCAGCAGATGCTAGTGTAGCCAGGTCACGGAAGGGCACTTGGAAGGGCGAGGCTCTGTGGTAGGAGCTTACACAGAAGGCAGGGGCTGCCCTGCCAATTGTTATACACACGTACGCACATGTGTGCACACACACATGCACATGCATATGCAGGACTATTTTTTCTTTTGGAGAGGTTTTTGCTCTAGGCTGCACACGCTTGCCAGAAAGACAGAGACAGAGAGACAGAAAGCAAGAAATCACCCCTAGGGGAGATGGCCATGCCGCAATCCCTTCTCCTCTCGGGATCTTGGGCAACATGCACATGCACCTGGCATGAGTTTGAGCCTCTGGGTCTGGGGCTCAAACTGCAGTCGACTACATGGGAGTCCAGCAACGTAACCATTACGCCAACTGCTGGTCCCTGGGACAGGGTTATTAAACTGCCTCCTGCAGCATAAGAATCTCCCAGTGTGGGGACTAGCAGAAGGTGTAATGGTTATGTCGCTAGACTCCCACATAGTCAATGTGGTTCAAGTTCCAGACCTGGTGGCTTAAACTCACACCAGGCGCGTGTGCATGTGTGCCCAAGATCCCAAGAAGAGAATGGAGGAGGAGGGATTGCAGCATGGCCATCTTCCCTGGTGGTGGTGGTGGGGGGGGTGATTTCTCGCTTTCTGTTTCTCTGTCTCTCCCTGTCTTTCAAGCAAGCGCACATGCCCTATAGCAAAAAAAATCTTAAAAAAAAATCTCCCAGTGTGTCCTGGGGAGATGGACACAGCTTTGCTGGGCCTGCTCTTCCCGCCCACTCCCTCATGTGTCCCAATCTCGCCTTTATTCTCTGCTCCTCAATCTCCTTCTACCATCCTCCCTCCTGGGGCCATTTGCATGATAGAATGTTACATGAAACTATGATAAATTAACATTACCATTAATTATTAAGATCTGACAATGCATCTTTAATACAGCATTACTGTGGGTGGTGTTTGCAAACTGCAGTGGCTCAAGAGTTGAGCAGGGCCTTGAGGGCCTCCTTTTGGTGGACCTTACACGCCAGTCCCCAGGGAGGGCACCAGTAGCTGTGGCAAAACACTGAGAATGATATGGCACTTCTTATGGAGCTAAATTATTTCATCAAGAAGGCTGAGATGACTTCTTTCATCTTTTGGGCTCGGGAGCCATGGAGTTAGGAAATCAATGATCCAACAAACTGATCAAATAACTCTAGGTCCCACTATAAAGTTTCCATGAATGAAACGGAAACCTTTGAGAACGAATCTCTTCTTCCAACCTCCCCCATGCAGGAGCCTTTCTTCAGGACTGCGTGGAGGGGCTTACTTGGGCCCATAGGGGCCTGGAAGGCAGAGGAGAGTGTCAGGAGTAGGCCCGCTAGAAAAGTCTACCCCTCCCCAAATCGATGCCCCTTTATCCCACCAATTAGGGACAAATTCAATTTGCATAGCATCCCACTTGAAACACGAATGTGCCTTCAGAAGATTAAGCTTATGGGTCATTGAGAAGAATTCCTTAATTACTTCATCTTGCCAAGAGCTCAAGAGCTTCACATGGTAGAGGGTGGAGAGTGGGTAAAAGTTCTTTGGAGTTTTGACTGAGAGGTGCAGGGCAAGCAGCACCAGGAGGAGAGAAAAGCAGAGATTTTGGCACTAAGGGCGATTTGGGTAGGGGCCAGAGCCCCCAACCCTCTTGCCTCAGTGGCAGCTCCGTGAACCCCAATGCAAATGTGACCCAACACGAACTCTCATGACACTCAAGACACGAGGCTTGGCTGTTGGGAGGTCACTGCCAGGGAGGTGTGGTGTGCTGGAAGGAAGAGGAGAACCCAAAGAATTGAAAGTCACACGGAAGCTACAGTAACCAAGACGGGGTGGGATTAGGGGAAAAACAGACAAGCAGATCAAACTGAACATCCATATGCAAAAGAAAATGAGTGCAGACACAGAGCCGTTGACAGAAATAACCAGCTCTTGAGAAGTAATAATTCATGTGGTTTATTGCTGAGCACGAGATTGAGTGACCTGACCCGGAAAAAGACAAACATGCTTCTCGAGGTGCTGAGAGGCAGTAGCTCCTTTTATACAGTTCTGAGAGCAGGAGTGTTGTCAATCAGCATAAGGAGTCTTTTACATTGACCTGGCCCAAAAAAGGCGGAACATCTGGAAGCAAAGGCTTGTAGGTTACAGGTGAGTTGGAAATTCTTAGATGAGTAATTGGTTAAAGAAATCTCTGTTTCTGAAAGAAATCAGCAGAAGAATGTGCTTTACTCTAAGAGATGGGAAGGCTTTCTATGAATCATAAAAACGCAATGTCTGGGACAGGATGTAGCGTCCCAGTATCAATGGAACAAACTGGTCTGCTAATGTTCGTAAGTGTGATTCTCCCAGACCCCTTGGAAACAAATGTTTTAGAAAAAGAGTCAGAATTTTGTCCTCAGCGCTTATACCCTTTCACCAAAATTAACCCAAAATGTATCACAGATCTAAATATAAAATGCAAAACTAAAAAAAAACTTCTAGAAGATAACGTAGAAAACTATCTAGATAACCTTGTTTATGGTGGTGACTTTTTAGATACACACCAAAGGTACTACTTACGAAAGGAGGAATTGAGAAACTACATTTCACTAAAATTTAAAATTTCTGCTCTGTGAAAAAACACTGTCAAGGGACCAGTAGGTGGCGTGGTGGTTAAAGGGCTGGACACTCTCACATGGCGGACCAGCATTCGAGTCCCTGGACCTGGTGGCTTGCTTTCTTACTTTGCCTTTCTCTCTCTCTATCTCTGTCTCTCTCTGGCCAAATTAAAAATAAGTGAATGAATAAATAAAAATAAATAAATAATTTAAAAAAAAAAACACTGTCAAGAGAATGGAAAGGCAAGTCATGGATTGGAAAGACATATCTGGTGAAGAATTGTTATCCAAAACCTATAAAGAACTATTTTTTTAAAGTTTCTCTCTTATGGAAGAAATAAAGATTTTTTTTTTCTTTTTGGAGAGATTTTTTGCATGTGCTTGCTGGAGAAACCAAGAGAGACAGACAGAAAGTGAGAAATCACCCCACGGAGGGATAGCCACACCACAATCCCTTCTCCACTCTTCTCTTGGGATCTTGGACACACATGCACACGAGCCCGGCGTGGATTTCAAGCATCCAGGTCCAGGACTCAAACTGCAGTTGGCAATGTAGGAGTCCAGCAACATAACCATTACACCATCTGCTTGTCCCTAAAGTTTGTTTTTTAATGACCTCTTAAAAACCAACATAAAAAAAATTAAGGGACCTGGGACCAGCAGGTGGCATGGCGGTTAAGATGCTGGATACTCCCACATGGCCGACCACAGTTCGAGTCCTGGACCTGGTGGCTTGCTTTCTCACTTTTTTTTTTCTCTCTCTCTCAGTCTTCCTCTCTCTCTCTCTCTCTCTGTGTGTGTGTGTGTGTGTGTGTGTGTGTGTCTCCCTCTGGACAAATTAAAATAAATGAATGAATAAATAAAATTAAATAAATAATTCTTTAAAAATATTAAGGGACGAGTAGATGGCATACTGGTTACTCTGTCTCTCCAGTGAGCACACATGCCCTATAGCAAAAATCTCTCTAAAAAAAAAAAAGAAGAACGAAAATTTAAAATGGCTGAAGATCTTAACGGATACCTCACCAAGGAAAATACACAGATGACAAGTAAGCACAAGAAAGATTCTCCACACATAACACATCATCAAGGACTTCCAAATTAAAACAAAAATGAGACATGTCCATCTACTTCTGATAATGGTGAAAATCCGAAACACTGACAAAATCAAATGCTGGCAAGGCTCTGGAGCAACAGGAACTCTCGTCCCATTGCTGACAAGGATTAAAATAGTTCAGCCATTTTGGAGACAATTTGAGAGTTCCTTACAAATCTAAGTATACTCTTACCCTATGATCCAGCAATCACCCTCCTTAATATTTAACCAAAAGAGTGGAAAAGTTAGGCCCACACAAAAACCTGTACCTTGATGTTTACAGCAGCTTCATTCATAATTTCTAAAACTTAGATGCTACCAAGATGTCCTACAATGGGTGAATGGATAAACTGTGGTACATCCAGTCAGTGAAATATTATTTAGTGCTAAAAAGAAATGAGCTGTCGAGCCCTGAAAAGACATGGAGGAAAACTTAAATATATATCACCAAGTAAAAGAAGGCAATGTGAAAAAGTTACATATGGTATCATTCCAACTATACAGCATTCTGGAAAAGGTGACACTATGAAGACAGTAAAAATCAGTGACTGCCAGGAGGGAGGAGGAGGAGGGAGGGATGAACAGGCAGAAAACAGAGAGCTGTTAGGGGAGCGAAATGTGCATGATGAACACTGTGATACCTCTGTCCACACCCATGCAAGGCACCATACCAAGGATGAGCTCTAGTGAACTGAGGGCTCTGGGTGAGATTTGTCCATGTAGGCACACTGACTATAGCAAATACATCATCGTGGGACTAGCTGGTGGCATGGTGGTTGAGTAACTGGATCCCACGTGGCTGACTACACGGTTCAAGTCCAGGACCTGATGGCTTGAGAGACATGCTGGGAATAGGCGTGCATACCCCAAGTCCTGAGAGGATAATGAACGAGAAGGGATTGTGGCATGGCCATCCCCTCTGGTGGTACTTTCTCTCTCCCTCTTGGTCTCTCTCTGGAGAGCATGTGTGCCCTATACCAAAATAAAACACATCGCATTCTGGTAGCACTGAATGGGGGAGGTCATTCATATGTGGGCAGGTGACCAATGGGAAATCTCTTTACTTT